CTCTCTCTCTCTCTCTCTCTCTCTCTCTCTCTCTCTCTCTCTCTCTCTCTCTCTCTCTCTCTCTCGTGTGTGTGTGTGTGTGTGTGTGTGTGTGTATTGTTCCAATTTTAACGGATGTCCTTCGCATCCTATTTTGTGCAGGACAGCTTGGAGCCCATGGCTGCACTCGGGATCAAGGCCTGATCCAAAACCCTAAATTATTTCGGGCCGGTGAATGTTCACAAAAATTACAAGCGATTAAAAAGTTGTCTATAGAGCCCCATCTAATCAAAACAGAAAAAAGAAAACTCTGCCTCCAACTCCTTCATTGACCCGACTTTACCTTCCCGACTAAATGCAGCAACTGCCACATAATGGGCTTCCTCCACTACTCAACAATCTGCATGCATTTATACGCTTTCTGTGGACCAGGTGTGTTAGGTAGGACGCGTCTGACATTTTGAATCTACTGCAATGACTCTGAGCTCCAGAGACATAGAAAGCGTTGTGTAGCGGAGCGAGGGCCAATACCACAAAACCACAAAACAACACACGGTAAAATAAAACCCTTTGTCCTTCGCGACATCCGACCAAATTGGAACAATTCAGAGAAGATTAGCATGGCCCCTGCGCGCAAGGGTGGCACGCAAAAAGAGAAAAAAAAGTACCCCTTCACGCTGCAAAGACATTCTAGTTTAGCCAACCAATGACGGGTGCACGCAGTGTGATGAAAACACGTCATGAGCTTGTGAGATTATGCAAAACACATTGCGACCGATGGGCTGAACTTCTCCACAAATCCTACTCTTTTTTTTTTTTAAGGTGTATTTCCAAACTTTACGCTGACTACTTACGTACTCACAGCACATGTAGAGAATCTAACTTTATCTAAGTCCAATATAACACAACTGAAGCGACAATGCAGACTCAAATTCACTCAATCTGAAATAAAAATGAAAGAGATGAGAGCATATGGTGTGAAGTTGCGAACAGGCATCGGAAAGGGCAGGGGAGGGCCACTACTGGTTGGGAGAATTTAAAGAAGGGGGGGTTTGGAATCTTTGCAATGGGAAAAGTGAACGGAATCCGGAAAGCGCGCTGTCCTTCGACTTACCCAAAGATCCCACCAGCTAAACTGCATAGCCAGACTTTGCCGCGCTCTTGGAGTGCATTCAGTGAGAAGGGCCCAGCATAACCTTCGGTCACTGTTGACGTTGCTGCTCTTCTTGGGCTTGGTTCAGGAGCAATCCGAAGTGACGTTGGTTTTACAGCCTCGATGACCTGTTCCAACAACCGTGGATTTGGTGCTCCGCCTGATGCATCAGCCACGTAGAAGTATGCTGAAGCTTCACCGTGCATGACTGAAAGGTGCCCATGTGTGACCGTCAGCCCATTGATTGCAAAATTGCGTGTCACCTCCAGCAAAAGTCCCATGCGGTTTGGACAGTTTAACTCCAAGCGAACACCCTGTGAGACACACACACACACACAGAGAGAGAGAGAGAGAGAGAGAGAGAGAGAGAGAGAGAGAGAGAGAGAGAGAGAGAGAGAGAGGTGGGGATTGAGTGGAAGTTGTCAATAACAGTAACCCGAGTGAATCCAAACGACCTGCTGCTCAGGCAAGGGAATCAGCTTTCCATGGTAGAATTTTTATCGAGTTTCTCTATTTAGAAAAACTATTGTGCTATGATAGGCCCGCCTATGTCATAATGATTGAAGTTCTACACACATGCACATGGACTCGGCATCTTTAAGAAACGATCAAAGGCAGAAGAACAACCCTTCTGCCCGGTGAGACACTCGTCACAGGGCAGAGGATCGGATAACGTAATGCATGTTCAGTTCAGAGGGTTGTTAGGTTGTGTGGGTGCGTGCGGCGGACGTTAAAACAGTGCCTGTCAATCACAGGCTAGAGGGCAGTCACATGAGGCCTCCACTCCGAAATTCCGACAGCTGCTACAGTCTACCACTGTCGCATGCCTACTCGGCATCGATCAGAGCGAAGAACCGACCTCTCAGAGACAATACAAAAATAGTACAGCGGAAGACTGAAATACCAAGATCTGACTCAGCATGGCAATGACAGGACCTGACTGCAACCATCATCACACAGTGTGAGGGGACTCAGCACAGCAAACATAGAAGTTGCGCTGAGTCCGAGGGCATACACAGACTAAGATGGGGGAGAAGAGACGAAGGGAGGAGGAGATAGGGGGGATCAGCCACGATAGCCTGATGAACCCAGTCTCCAATATATCCCCAATGTCGCTGCTCATACAATGTCGCTGAACTGGGCGAAGCCCCAAAAGCATAGTTGCGGCGCACGTCGGTGCGCCGGTTTGCGCACATCGCGCCGCGCACCGCACAGCGCACCGAAGCGCAGCGCACTTCAAAAATTAGGTCCAAAAAAAAAAGAAAAAAAAGTAGGGGTTTTCTAATTTCTTAGGGCCCCCAACTCAGCAAAAATGTTAAACTCACCGCGCAAGTTCACAAACCGGCCGCGCCCACGGCCCGAACTTTTCTTTTGGGAAAGGGCTGCTGAAAATTCGATTTTCACAGGCCCTTCCCCAAAAAGTTTCGAATGGCGAGGCACAAAATACGGCTCATTCCAACTTTTGTTTTAGGCGGGGTATGAGAGATGTCCTTCCCGCTGCCTTCTGCAAATCCCACACAGTAGTGGGGTCAGTTCGCAAGAAGGGGTAGTCACCTAATAACGACATGCCCCGCGACGCTTCGCAGAAGTCGCAAATTGCATGTTCTATCACCAGCCGACCACCAATATATGCTGAAGATTGGCGTTCAGGTCCACATGTGGGCAGTTATGGGTTAGGATGAAGATGCCCGTGGCTCTCTCGTTTTTTTGTTTTTGTTTTCTTACGAATACGTCCAGTGGGGCCTGCTCCACTACGCACCAAATGCACAAAAGACATAGCATATGGCGGTGTATGGTTCCATGTTTCAGCAGAAGATTCATTCTGCTCTCTCGTTTTTTTGTTTTTGTTTT